GGGCTGCCAGTGGTGGAGCGTGCGCACTTAACCGCTAAGCCACAGGGCCGGTCCCTACTTTGCCTTTTTAACCCATATGTCAGCTTGGGTCTCCTTGCACCTTATTTAAGTTATGACTGATTACACCCCCAATTCAAGGTCCTCTCCAAGATTATGGAGAATTCCCGGGTGGCTAATATTTCTTGGTCTCCTGTGCTCTTGCTTCGTCTCTAGCTCAGCTATGCTTTAAGACTATTTTATACAAACATATTTTGTCTAACATGTTTAGGTGTTCTGTGTCAGAAGGCATTTTTCTGATCCTCTATTCCGGGAGTTGGCAAACTTCTTCTGTTAGGGCCAAGTAGTACGGTTTCTGTTGCAATTATTCAACTAATAAACTCATTGCTGACCCAACAATTATCTTTCCCATTTTCCATCTTTCTACCTTTCCATCACTTGAGTACTGTTTTACTATTATTAAGTGGTAGGAAATCATCTAGCTGTCAGGAAACAAAAAAGACCTTCAATGGAGCACTGTCCCCTAAAAGATAAAGCTCAAACGCCCATACTTTAATAATAATATTAAAAGCTAATATTTGCCAAACCCTTGTCATGGTCCAGGCACTATTCTAAGTGCCCTTCGTATATAAACTCATTGACATCTTACAATGGAGCAAAAGACAATGACCGTTAGTTTCCCTATTTGGGAACCGAGGCTCAGTTATGTAAAGGCTCACTACTCAGTGGTAGTGGGGAGAGGACACCAACTCAGGTCTGTCTGGCTCCTGAAGCCATGCTCTTCTCAGGATGCTTGGTTCCTAACATCCATTCCTCTATCTCTTGATAATTATCTGGATTATCATTCAGAGGGTTTCTCTGCTTCACTAGCCACTGTGCCTCAGGAGATGATCTCACTCCAGTGCCAGGGAAAGGCTTATAGATCTAAGTGCACTCTTACTCCCTGGCCAGTGATTGGCTTAGATCTGGAGTTTCTGAACAAATCAGTACACGGTATACCTCCGGCCACACAGGTTGGTTCAGAAAATGGACATGTAACCTCACCCAGGCTAATGACATGTATTTGTTGAGGGTTCCTAGAAAAGAGTTTCACCAATCTTGAGAGAGAGCTTCAGGGAGAGCCAGCCTCTCTTCACCCAAAGATTGCCATATATGTATGTGAAACTTGAAACTATAACAATCATCTTATTTGTAATGGGGATAAAGCTAGAACAAAATGGCAGAGCTGAGAGAGTCACAGACCAATGCAGCCAGAACCCTAGTTGAGTCATAATTGCTCATCACTGTAGAGCATAGTCCTGGATTTTTTCCATTGCATAACCAATATATTATCTTTGTTTTTCAAGCCAGTTTCAATTGAGTTTTCTTTCAACTGGAGCAACCTAACTGATATAATTATTTATAGTCTTTCATGATCTGGCCTCAGCATATGTTTCTAGTCCTTAATCTCATTTGTTTGGGGCCAAATAAGTCACCCAGAGTTTCCCAAACACACCACAGCATTCATGCATTTGCAAGTGTGAGTCTTTCTGCTTCAATTACCCTTTGCTCTCCTCTCCATGGAGAACTCATGTTGCACTGCAATCATGTTTCACATGACTGTCTCTACCACTTGACTTGGCTACGTTCTTTTTTGTCTTCATATTCTTTGTGCCTAGCATACACTTGATACATAGTAAGCATTTCAGCAAATGTTTGTAGAATTAATAAAAATGATGAGTAGCATGGAAATCTGAATCACAATATGTACTTTCTATACAAGATAATCATCTAGATCAATGCTGTCTAATAAAACTCTCTGTGATAACAGAAATGTTCTCTACCTGCTCTGTCCAATAAAGTAGCCATTGGCCACGTGTGGCTCTTGAGTACGTGAAATGTGCCTAGTGTGACTGAGGAACTGAATTTTAAATTTCATTCCTATAATTAATTTGGTTTTAAATAGCCCCATGCAGCTAGTGGCTACTATATTGAACAGCACAGATCTAGAAACCAAACGGAAAAAATAATTTCCAAAGATGGGAATGTGTCATCTAAATGATTCTAGATACCAAACCAAATGGAAACATTTAGAGACAGTGTTATTTTGATTCTAGTCATTTTTTTATCCTTAAGTAAAACATTTAATATAATCTAGAATTTTCTTTGACATTCAAAAGTAGTCCATTCACATAATTTAACAATATAATCTCAGTTTGTCTTTATTTTGAATATGAGCAAAATGCACCAGCTGACACAACTTGTGTAATGGAAGTTTTCAGTCTTAGGACCCCCTGAAAGGAAATAAAGCAGATCATTTTTTCCATGAAAAATCTTTTTACAGGTATCAAATTCCATATCGGCCAAGAAAGTAGGTATCGCATAACCAAAGGCTTGTTTTTAATGATCAGGTGATATAATCTGTTCTTGCCACCTGCAAAATGGCCACGTAGACAGAATTACCACAGATGAGTTTTTCAGCTATATAGTACACAACAGATTTCTCTCCTTTCACAATTCTTTTAGGGAAAAATTTATAGAGGAAAAAATCTATGCAAAAAACTCTAATTAGCATAACAGTAAAAACTGCAAAAACAAAAAAACTCTAATTAGGGAAACAGTTAAAAACATAAGCCATAGGTGATAGTGGTTAAAGCTAGACTTTATGACCTTATAAATCAGAACTGGATTTGAATCCAGAAAGGCTTGAGAGAGCGAGAGAGAGGGGAATAGATAGATAGACAGACAGACAGACGGATAGATAGATAGATAGATAGACACATAGATAAACAGACAGACAGACATTCCTGGGTAAGGTATTATATTTACCCCATTTTACAGATAAGGAAACTAAGGCTCAGTAAAGTATGTACCTTGCCCACTGTCACACAGCTCACAATTGCTAGAGCTGAGATTCAAACCCAGGCCGGTCTGCCTCTGAAGGCCATGCTCTTAAGCACCATCTGATAATAACAGTTCCCAGGTGATACTGATGTTGCTGGTCAGGAGACCACACTTTGGGAACCACAGTTTCTAAAAGTCAACAGCTGACAGTAAATAGCCCAATAGTGGAAACAGGGGTAGGGATTTGCAAGATAGCTGCACAGACAAGTTATATATAGTACAATCAATATCTCCAGAACAAAAGTAACATTGCTGTGTTATCAAGTACAGTGCAACAAAAGGAACAGTAGGTAAAGATTGTGATGACCACAGACTCTCTGCCACATAGTTATCTAGAAATCCATAAGCCGGCTACAGAGCTAAAGAGTATGTCTGCTCTGTGATGAAAACAAGGTCCACTACGGATCCATAACTGATCAAATCTATCTGAAGAGAGATCTGAGAGTTTCTTCTAGATTTCAGTTTTATGCTACGTCAGTATTTTGGTCTCATTCTTAAGAACCATTAGTTGCGATGCAGGGAGTGCAGAGTCGGGGCAAGCGTGCTGGCCCTGGAGCCAGACTGTGGGGGTTGAAGTCTGACTCTCCCATTTACTAGCTGGGTGACCTTTGGGTAATTATCATTTCAGGTCTCAGTTTTCCCATCTATAAAATGAGGCTATTAATAGTTCTTTTTTTTAATAATTATTAATATTTTTTTAATTTAATTTTTTTATTTTCTCCCCAAAGCCCCAGTGCATAGTTGTATACCATAGTTGTAGAGTTGTAGCTCTTCTATATGGGACTCTGCCTCAGCATGGCTTGATGAGCAGTGGGTAGGTCCACAGCAAATATCTGAACTGGCGAACTCCGGCCCACCGAAGCAGAGCTGGCGAACTTAACCACCGCACCACCTGGCCGGCCCCAGTATTAATGGTTCTTACTTCGCAGGGTTGTTGCAAAAATAAATGAGGTAAGTTGAGAAAAACCCTTTGAATAGTGTCTTCCATGTACTAAGTATCCAGGAACTATCAGCTATCATTATGTGTCCCATTGCAGGGTCGGGCCCTGAGATACAGGAGAGACTTTTCTTCAAATGATGGTTTGTATCAAAATCTCATTCTGGTGTCTGCAAATAAAGGTGATCATCAGAGTTACTGGGCATCTGTAATGTGCTGTGCTATCAGATACACATGTTTTCATTATATGTTAGCATACCTACACATTGGAAAGGAGATTTTGTAAAAAAAAAAAAAATATTTTATTTAAATTTTCCTCTTGCCAGCCCTCAGTGATCCTGTACATTCCAAAGGGGACTGTGAACGAGACACGTGCATTTTTTCATTTAATTCCTATGGCAATCCTGGTAGATTGTTGCTGTTATTTCTCTTCTAAACGTTGCAAATTGGAGCTTGAGAGGGAAAGTGACAACAAATTGATGTCAGAATTTGAGCCCAGATATGTTTGAGACCAAAGCCTATACTGGCTTCAAATTTATCAATTACAACATGACAGGATATGCGTATAGTTTTTGGAGGAGTGAGAGGGTTTGATACTCAAATGCTCATTCACACATATAATGTTTCATTTTCCATGTTTTTCCCCTAGAAGAACTTATGAGATAATAGAAATGTAATGGGATAAACGAAATATCATTATCTTAGATAAAGTATATAACAGCTAAACCTCGTAGAGTTTAGACAACTGAAAGTATTACTGCATGGCTACTTAGTAATCATATCTGTTCTGTGTATCATATAATAAAATATATAATAGAACATCAAAAAATTGGGAGGAAAACTACCTTAAACTTAGAAGAAAATTAGGGAAGAGTTGTGATGAACTTGTGATAAATTTCAAGCCTAGAGAGTCCACTCTGGGAGATTCAGCATTTTGATTCTTACTCAGTAATTTCCAGAATGTAGATTATCTGCTCACCTGCCCTGGACAGAGCCTAAGCATTCCTTCCCCTCTCAGGGGAACATACCACAGATTTCCATGAGCAGTTGGCTGCTATCTTGCTTTGTCTCTTCTCCTTTATCTGTCCAGATAGGCTGCCCCCGCCCCCCACTTGCAGTTTCTGGCTATAATGGAACATTGCAGCAATTCTTCTTGACCTCAGGCTCTTCCCATAAGGCATACCTTACTATTTAGGATCTGGAAAACCCTCTGCTGCGGTGTCTGGTCAGCCTTGGGCCTCACAAGGATGTAAATGACTTTCAGGTTGGGGCTAGTGCGAAATAGCTTCTCCATCAGCACTTTGCCCATGAAGCCCGTGGCCCCAGTAATGAGAATGGACTTGCCACCATAGAAAGCTGCAATCGTGGACATGGTTCTTCCCTTTGTCCTTTAGAGCTCCGGACAGAGGTGCCTGAAAAGGAAGAGGAATAACAAAGATTACATTCTCAGAAGTTCTAAATGCTGTCATTTAAAATGTTTCTGGTGCTTCTAGGAGTTGTGAATGCAGAAAAAGGTCAGACAGAGGGATCACATCATGGTTTATTGATTTACGTATGATTTATATGATTCATTTCAATCAATATTTATGAAGCTCACTCTACATGCCAGACATTATGCCAGGAACTGTGGGCAAGCAATGAGTAAGACACGGGTCCTGCTCTCAAAGAATTGCTTGTAGGCTAATGGAGGAGACAGACACATAAAGAGATCGTTAAATATAATACAGTGAGTGCTAAACCAAAGGGAGCACAGAGGAGGAGTGCAGAGCAGGATCTGGAAATTTCAGGCAGTCCCCTATAGGAGGTGACACCTGAGGTGAAACTTAAAGGCAGAGAAGGGCTGCGGGAAGGGTGTTCCAGTCCAAAGAAGTGCATATTTCCATATGCTGGAAATAAAAGGAATTCAGTGTTACAAGGATGTAAACAGTGTTAGGAGAGAGGGAGAATCCCTCTCTTCCCTTAAGGTTCTTATGGCTGGCCAAATAATCAACAAGACACGTTAGCAGGAGAAAATAATACCAAGTTTAATAACATGTATACATGGGAGAAACTCAGAAATGAGCAACTCGTCTCTCTGTCTAAGCTGCTTGCTTAA